GGCATCGAGCAGTTACCCGTGCGTTGGGAACATGTCATAGACAACAATGGTCATTACATTGTAGACTGAAATTGCATTTCGATAAAGTTATAAAATTTTGAAAAATTTGCGCAAAGTGTTGCAAGACTTTCTTTCCAACCCAATATATTTGCCATGAAATCAACGGTTTGATATTGAGAGTATCACGGTTTGCATGACAATATCACTCAGTTCCAAACACTTGGGGATATATGACTAAATGTGCAAGAACGATTGGTGACATTTCTCAGGGGATATGACCGTCGTGGCTTCCTGTCCCAACTGTGAGAGGATTGATAAGCGATACTGGTGAAGATTCATCCCCAGCTCAGTCGCTCGATTGCGATCGTCGATCTATTCCTTGCTCTCTGCCAAGAGTAGGCTTCATGCGGTTCTTGAAACATGAGAAAGCAAACTCAACGCAATTCGGAAATGGAGAATATTGGGGAAGGAACCGAACTTCTCTATTCCCGACATCTTCGAAAGCTGCGGTGAGCTGGAGCGTTATCCATGATGAAAATGGTTTCATCATCTCCGAGAATAGTTTCAAAAAGTCTATGAACTTGGTAGCATTCATCCCACCTTCTATGATCGAGCAATCTAGGAGGCCTAGCTGAGGCGATATAGCAAATGTGATTGTCAGATTCTTTCCTCGATTGCCGGACATAACACGAACTGCCCTCTCTCCCCGCACAGCGTGGCCACGGTTGTGCTTGGTGTGAATGTTGTATCCTGCTTCATCGATGAACACAAGATTCTTTCTGATTCCTTCTTGCATGGGCCACTGGGAATAGGCGTATCGCTTCTCCTTCACATCTCGATTTCTCTGTTGGTGAGTCTTCAAGTTTCTTGGTTATGAGCAGGCCATTGAGCATGTTTGAAATGGTCTTGTCAGAAATGGACTTGTCAGAAACGAGCGGCTTCTCTGGCAATCTCCGCCGGAGTTCCTGGTTGATCCGTCTCAATGTAAACGCAGGGGACTCTCCAACAACTGCAGCCAAGCAATCGGACATATCATCTTGCTTCGTCCACCGCCTTCCCCCTCGTCGTTTCTCTACAACCCCTGACTCCAGATACCTTCTCTGATAACGCTAGCATCGTAATTACAATTGTACTTCATCAAATTTTGCAGAATGAACGATGGAACGAACCAAGCAACAATAGCACGAGCAGTGGCTTTCTTGATCCCAAGTATAGACGCCAATAACAGGTAGTCATCAGCGATTACTCATCACCGCTTTCGTGTGAACCCAAGTAGCGCAAAAGTAGTGGGCCATTAGCGGCCCAGGCACAACACTTGTGGATTTATGCCGGGGCACAGTGGTACAAAAGTCGGAAATTCTTGGACAAAACTCATATTTTGAAAATGGAGGGAAAAAAATTATATTGTCACCAAAAGTTACGGATTGAAGTCCTTGTCCTGCATCGCTATTTCTCCAGGTCTTCCTCTTGTCCTTTATTAGCCTTTACATGGTGCAAAGGTCAATGACTGGAACTTTTCTTAAAATATGGAAACTTGATGCGAAATTGTGACAAAAGTTTGTCATGTAATACGGCTGTTCTTGTCAATGTTTTTTCAAGTGCGATCTGAAGGTGTACCTGAAGGTGAGTCTTACTTATTGTATTACAGTTTTACTCCTGATGAATATGCATAACTCATGTTATTTATTAGATCCTGTGTAGTCGATTGATGAACTACTTCTAATGACAAGGTAAATTTATCGAGTGAATTTGAAATACTTCTCAAGATTTCTCAGGAAATTCCTTATAGGCCAATGAGTATCTATTAATGAAGAAAAAAATCAGCCCAATCTCCTGCGCCCAGCTGCGCCTAAAGTGCGCTCTTTCATCCTACTGTAAGGATTGGAGGATTTCCATGAATCATTCCAAATCCTCATACCTTTATGTGCACAGAAGCCTATCCCGAGACCCCTACAACTTTAGGCTTTGGATGAATGGAAACCTCATCCTCGCTGCTTCCACCTGCAAATTTCTAGATATCACTTTCCACAAACACCTCCGTTGGTCCTCCCACGTGCAGATGCTACGTCAAAAGGCAATTCGTAAATTGAATTGTCTGAAGTTGCTCTCGTTTGTCAATGGTTGTGAACCCAACGTCATCATGCGCCTGTATAAAGGTGGATTTATACTGGGCGGAAAACGGCGCGGAAAGCGGATGGCGGAATTTCGTTAAACTTGAGAACGGAAATTTCCGCTTTCCGCTGTCGTTTTCGCCTGACGGAAGGCAATTTATACTGAGCGGTCGCGCTTTTAGCCGGAGATATTCAACATCAGTGTACTGGAGGGAAATGATATGAAAACGAAGCCCATATCATTGCAAGCCAAAAAATACATTTCCAAATAAGGCAAAGTATATACGTGTACTGTAACGGGTGTCTCAGATATAAATGCACTCTCAGGATTCATTGAATATCTCTGTCATTTCAAGCCCATCAGTCTTGATTATTTAATCATAGATTCTCTGTACAATTCTCTACTGCCCAAATCATTTTATTTTTGTATGCTACCACCGTCATTCCCTACGACAGCTCGCAAACGAGACGTCAAAGACAGACAAGATTCTCACACGACTTTCTTCGAAATTTGCTTTACAGCCACTTTCAGTTCGCGAAGAGTCCCTTTGCTGCTCACACGGTCCCACTTGATGGCCGGCACGAGCTTATTCCAAATGCAATATAGTCCAATGATTTCGAGTCGATCAAAAGGCTGGCAAGAAGCAGAAACACAAGTTTCCACAAAAGGTGATGGTCTGGTTGGGAGCGTGTTCGAAAATGCTGACTCCTCTGGTCATTCTCGACAAGAGCAGCGTAAGAGGGGCCAGTCCCTCCATTAGCTCCTATTCTTAAAAAAAAAACTATATTTTCTCCGTTCACAGATATGGAATTCCGTATTCAATTTCGTGTAAGTGTAAGGTGTGTCTAACTTTCTGTGAGAGGACAGACACTCTTGCATTCCCAAGTGATTCCGCTCCTGGGTGCCTCAGAATCCAGAATGAGTATTGCTTGAATGTTTTTGGTGGTAGGAGTGTACCTTTCAAAGGTAATCAGATAAGGTCCTGCTCCTTCGTCTCAACCCGATGAAGGAGCAGTGAGAGGTCAAAAGAATGCGTTCATTGCCATGTGCAAATCCTCAAGCTTCGAATGAGATATCCATCCCTGATGCACTCGGGATGAGTCACAAGGGGCACGATTTTCTTCTCTTTGACAGCGGAGAGCAGGATTCCAGTAAAATGTTCATTTTCTCCACTCCAGATGACCTCACGGTCGTGTCTGAATCACGCAACCGGTTCGGCGACGGAACTTTTTCTGTGACACCCCATCTCTTCCGACGGCTTCCTACGATTCGTGTCGTGAAGTTGGGAGAAATTTTTCCCACGGTCTTCGCATTCCTCGCATCCAAGTCTCAAAGGAATCACGAACGCCTTTTCCAGGAAATATCTATTGCCGGAGCCAACTCACCAGAGAGCACGCTCTTCGACTTGGAACTTGCATCGTGTGATGCTGCTCGGAGTGTTTTTCCTGGCATCGCGATTCGGGGATGTCTCTTTCATCTGGGACGATCGCTTTGGAGAAAGATTGAGGCACTCGGACCGATTCGGTCGCACACCGAGGAGGAGGACGTTCGCCCTAGATGCAGGATGCCACTTGCCCTTTGCCTTCGTGCCTGTAACCGGCGTCGTCACCGCATTCGAATCCATTCGTGATGCGGCTCCAGACGAGCTGGAACACTCGTACGATCACCGGGAGTACGAGTACATCGGGAGGCAGAGAAGAGGGAGAAGAGCCACTCCTCTCTTCCAATTTTCTGTATGGAACGTACTCGACGGGCCAGTCAGATCTGCCGAGGACAAATAATCGCATCGAGGGTCGGCATCGTACTTTTGAAGTAACCGTAGGCGCCCATCGTCTCGACGTTCACATGATGGTGGAAGCGCCACGGAAAGAACAGGCTAGAACAGAAGCATGCATTCGGCAATCACAGGCAGGAGCTGCGCCTCGCCACTCCAGGAATAAGTACATGCGGATCAATGATCGCCTGAAGGCTATTGCCGACGACGACAACCTGGCACTAGATCACCTACGTTCAATAGCCGTGAATCTTGGGGACATGAGTCATAGGAATTCGTTTGACATTTTTGTTTTTGTGTTCTTCATATTCCACGACGAAGTTTCATTTGGAATATTTTGTATGTGGACTCTTTTTCATCGAAAATGAAATGTCTTCGGAATTTTTTCCACAGATTAATTTATTGGGGTGGCATTTTGTCTGGATACGATGTCATGAGAAGGTTCCATCGGGTATTTTTGTCAGTTCTATTTCGTCCCAGGACATTATGTCGGGTAACCAATTGATCTTACATACAAAGTACATACAAAGTTTCACAACGTTGTGCCCACCGGTTTCCTGGGGGCAGTCGTCTGAACAGCGGAAGTGACTTTTGAAACGCTCTGTATACCATTGCACCAGAGAGCAGGGCCGCCCAGAGGGGGGGGGGGGGGGGTGGCAATTGGGGCAATCTGTCCCGGGCCCTACATAGCTAGGGATCCTAAGGGGGGCCCCCAAGGGGTCTCCGGTTTAGTTTCGCCCTGGGCCCCTGGAAACCTCTGGGCGGCCCTGCCAGAGAGCTCAGATTCAACTCTCTCAAGGTGAACATTGCTCAATTTTCATTATTTCATTAAAAAGAGGCAAGTTCTTAACCTGGAAAACGTCAAAATAGCAGATTCGCCCTTTTCCTAGACTTGAGCAGATATGTCATGCCCTTTTTGTAACGCCCTCCTTTACAATGCAGATGAACTCCAGGCGACCACTGACTTTCGGTCTATAAAAATCATCCCATCAAGATATGTGTCCAGAAGTCAGAAGCGTCTTTAATAATTAAAATTCGAAATCTCATCAAAATCATCAGGAACATAATAGAAAAGCAACAGAAAAAAGCAAATCATATCTCAAAGCAACACTTAAATGACAGGAGGATCCATATTGCAGAGGTATTCAGGTATATCTTCCACAAAGAGTTTCACGCCAATTGGAGGCCAGTCAGGCAGGAACTTATTGAGTTGATAACTCAATTCCTTGTATCCCTTTGACTCTCTTTGTCCCTTCTTCTTTGCCTTCAAAAGTCGTTTCAAGCAGTGCAGATCTAAAATCCACTGGAAGAGAAAATGGGAACCTTGCAAAGCACAACTGCAGGGAAAGAAGACTTCAGAACTACAAAAATGAAGAATGGTCCTTACCTCGATGATGAAAGAGAAGAAAATATTGAGGAAAATGAGGCCAAGGAGAAGAAGGCGAAAGAACCACGCAATGGGTTGATGATGGGGCATCAGCTCAAAGAAGGAGGCCAAAGGGGCCAAAGGAAGGACCAAAAGCAAAGCATTGAACAATCCCAAGCCCAGAAGAGCCACCAGGAACAGGTCTAAAATGGGAATGGGAAGGATCATATGATCAGAGTGAGGTCAGGGATCCATTTGGAAAAGTGAGAAAGTGAATGAATGGGTTGTAGGGAATGACAGAGAACTGACAGTTGGCATAGAAAGGCTTGCGAAATGGAGGTCCCTTGGAGACAGCAGCAGCCAAAATCAGGTACTGGAAGGAACTGACACTAAAGATCACAGAATTCTCCCAAGATTTAACTATTTCTTGATCCCCTCCTCCTCTTCCTATTGGGTCCACCAATTCATCATGATTTGGGTCACCATGGAACCTTAAGGATGAAATTAATCATTTTTCACTAAATATCCAACTGCATTGACAGTGAACCTAGGATTTAACAGAACTTATACAAACCATGGCTGGAAAAGCAAGAGATATAGAGCAGCAATCTGGATTCCACAAGCAAGGAGGATCTGAAGAATGATGGATAGGAGAATGGAAGGACTAAGGAGACTCCCAGGTGGGGTCCGCTTAACAAGTACAGGGTAAGCAGGGGTGAGACCCATTAAAACAGCCACTGATGTTGTGATCACGAGGTCTATGTAGAGGAACTGCATGTCTCCCAAGTTTGTCCTCCTCTGTGCAAGGTCCCATGATAGGATCAGCAGGCATTGTATAGATTTCACCAAAGTCAGCAGATAAAGAGAGAAAAGTCTTACTGTGTACAGAATGAGGACTGAGATGAACTGAACCATGGAGTACAAGGCCATGTACTTGAAGGTTCCAAAGCTGGTCATGAGGGAACACCTTCCTTCTCGAATGACCCGAGGCACACATGTGATGTCAGTAATGCGAGATGTGAAGGGAGCAGCAACAGAAGCCTCAGCATCTGACAGACTGATCCCAACATGTGCTGTCTTCAAGGCCTAACATAGCAACCCAGAACCAAAATTTGATCCTGATAGTATGAAGTAGATAAATGTAATGATTTTCCATCTTGGAGGGATTCTCATCAAAAAAGACATGAGAAAGATTTCTTACCCCACAGTCATTGGCTCCATCTCCACACATCCCAACAACATAATCCAGGGCTTGAAAGCTTTCCACCAGTTGAGCCTTGTGATCAGGTGCCATTCGAGCAAACACTCGTCCCTTCAAAGTCACAAAAGGGACCAAGAAGGGAAAGTGGGTGCGTAATCCTGCCCATGTCTTCCCAGTCAATGCCAACACAGACTCTTTCTCCTCTGATCCCAGGCACACCTTCAAGAGATTTAATAATTATAAGAATCACTTTCTTCAGCCTGCTGTCCTTAACAGGAAGCAAAAGAGAAAACATGACTCACAAGGGTCTCATCCACAGAGGAGTAGGTAGTAGATGCGATTGCTGCATTCATTGCTGTTTCAATGTCAGCTTGAGGCATCTCAGCTTCTTCAAAGAGGATCCAAGGAGAAGTGAACTCCTCAGAAGGACTGCATGAGACAACGATCACTTGACTGTTTGGTTTGATCATCTTGCATTCATGGGCCACACTCACTGCAGTCAAAATGTCATCTCCTGCATAGGTGGAGTTCATATATGACTATACAATTTCAACACCAATTGCCCTGTGGAGATCAAGGAAGATGACTTTGCCCCTCCTTTGTTATGTTCCTAATGACCAAGAAATGATTCACAATAAACACTCAGGGTCAGCTCTTTAAATGGGTCATATGCGTACACTTTCTGTAAATTGATACTATTGTGGAAGCTATCCAACTTCTAAAAAAAAAAATTAAATGATGATGCTGTTTATAGCAAGAACTGATTTATGCCACAATCCTACATCATCCAGATACCAAGTACAGCCTCAACTACAGCAGTTAGTGATGTTGATAACTCGGAAGAGACAACTCACATGGATGAAAGGTATTAATCAATCAGAGACATCCAGAATTTGAGGAGTTAGAGTTCAAGATGAAGCAACTGTGATTTCAAAGAGTGAAAATGACTTCCACCAAAGATTTCAAAAGAGAAACTAGGTTTTCTTCGAAGTGACTACATCATAATGGGATAGTCTCTGACTAGATGACACTAAAGGAACCTCTCATTTTCTGAAATTCTTTGTTTCCTGGCTTAATTTTACATTCTGTCACAATATGAAAAAATAATTCCTGGACATAAGTATATTCTGTCACAATATGAAAAAATAATTCCAGGACATAAGTATACAGCTTGCTAGAGTCATGCTACTCTGGGTAGTGTCATGATATTGAGGCAGGAAACCACACACAGATAGGGAGTAGAATCATGTGATTGGTCTGGTAACATCCACTTGGTGAACAACATGGACAAGTTCCTAGAATTACAGCAATATCATAAGCTAAATTTCAACTCTCCTTTTGCTCAAGTGTTGCAGGTTAAACACATGCCGAAGTGCAGATGGTTTTAAAACCATCTGCACTTTGCACATACACAGTGTACATACACAGTTACAACATTTCTAAATTTACTTTTAAAAAACAGTCCTAGTTTTTATAAATGTCCCTCTCTTTAAAAAAAGAGAATTGAGGGATGAGGTGATTTTTTGGCAGTTTTTTGCCATAGAGAAAGGGAAAGACCTCATCCCTCACATTCCACACAACAACTTAGCAAGTACAGTGAATGTCATGTAAAATCACTGTTTTCTCTTGGGAGGGAATTTTAACCTTACCAGTGACCATGACAGAGTGGATATTGGCAGCATAGAGTTCCTGGATGACAGGTGTGGTTTGTGGTTTGAGAGTGTTCCGCATGATGAGGAGACCCAAAAGACTTAGCTCATGTTCCAGAGTCTCCCTCTTGATTCTTTGGGCCTGATGCCAAGAGAATTTTTTGCCCAAAGGTTTCCATGCAAATGCCAGCACTCTGAATCCTTGCACCGTGTATTCACGCACACGTTCCCAGAACCCTCCTGGAACTGAAGAATTCCTTATACAGATGAAAACAATCCTCTCCTTTCAATTAAATTAGTCAGTCAAGGATCATACTTGATTGAGGATGGCAGAGGGAAGCAATCTTCTCAGGAGCTCCCTTACAGAAGAAATCCATGTGATCTTTGCCAAGGGTGCGTGTGATGACTGACATTCGCTGAAGGGAAGAAGTGAATGGGAACTGCCGAACAATGCCAACCTCATAGGGGATGGCAAATTCGGTCTCTTCAAGTCCATCTCCTCCATTTCCACTCTGGTCATTAAAAGTATAATCAATTATTTGTCTATGATTTTGCTTGACAAGGATTATACTACAATGAATGCTTACAAAGGTTCAGGACATGAGACCAATGCAAGTCATTTCGGCAGATATGTCAGGCAGATTTAAACCTACAATGTGAATATTGTATATATAGAGAGTGCTGAGAAAGTAACAGTATTATACTTAGTAAAAGCTTTCTTACATATGCACAAGTAATTCAAGCCACATTATTTGTCAACTGTTTATGTTTCCAGGTTTCCACTGTTTTTTTTGTTTCCACTCAATCCAAACATTTGATTGCAGGGTTGTCATGAATCAGTGCAGCTTAAGCACAATCATGTCAGGTTTTAAAATTGAATGGAGGTATTTATATTCCATTAAAGTTTCTTGCATGGATAAACATCTTAAGTTCATGTAGATATTATTGTTTTTTTTATCAAGAGATAATCTCTCATAGTCCCCATATAGAGACATATACACCCTTGGTATTTCATCACCAACAAGAATTCACTAAGTGTATCTGAGTTTAAAAGTCTAACCACTTGCAGTACCCTCCCATCTACCCTTCCTGTACCCACTGAAGTCCTCCACCTAATATCATGTAATCCACATCTTTGGGGGTGACAAAATCTTATATGTGTGGTTATTTTTAGGATATGCTATTTGGGATGACCACTAGAGTTTGTTCATGTAATAAGACAGGGTGGTCCAAATATTTTGCTTCATATGGCTTTCTGCTGTCATGGTGTCAAGCACACATGTGAGGGTCTCTCCAGTGAAACATTAGGCTAAAATTTTCATGCCCTAGGAACATCAAAATCTTAATACATTACGAAATAAGGAAGTTTGAGCTTCAGCAACTAAAAAGTTTAAGATCCCTTCAGGAATGACACTAGAGACAATTTAGGTACTGTCTCAATTTGGTGGCAGGAACATTGATTAACTGCCAGATGGTTTGGCTCATTTATTTCACCGCACAGTTTTTGAACCAATGGCTCTTGACCTCAAGCACTGATCAAGCCCACAGAACTTTATTTTATTGAGATCTATTTACAAAATATATTATTTGGTTTTTCTGTTAGAGTGCTGACAGACACACAGAAAGATGACAGAGAAAAATTATTTGTTGGTAAATGCATATCTTTTGTATGCACTACATGGAATATAGACTATATTGAGCACCATTTGGCTGGCCTTACTCGGATGTGAGTCAAATTATGGGTGCAAGGACTTAAAATTGGAGGAGGAGGAGGGGGGGGGGGTGATTATTTTGTATGAAGATAACCAGTGTGAGTTAAGCATGGAAAAACTTGAGAATAGAAGAAAATTCAGAAATGTTCATATAGGGTGAGTGCTGCAAATTTTGGCACAGGTGGTAATGTCAGCATTTTCCAATCATCAACCTTCTGCTTCCACTACCAGTCCCCTAGGTATGAGGAGAAGTCCATTCTCAGATGGTGGAACTACTGCTGTTGACATATGCTTGGAACAACCCTATTTGATGGTGTAGTTTTCCCACAGTGGCTGCCTTCCCTAAATGCACTCCGAAAATCCTGCTAAATCTTGTAATTTTGCCAAGCTTTGCAAGTTCCTGTTCTTCTATTCCATACTGGGTATTGTTTTAGTTCATTGCATTCATTTTGGAGTTTATTGTAAACATTAGTGTTACTTAGGTGTGCTGAGATTTCTAACAGGGTGGTGCCAACTATGCCAGCAAGTGTGTAGAGATTCCCAACATCCAACCCAACTTCACCTTTGACCCAGGCCCTCAGGAAGGAAAGGCCCAGGGTACTTGAGGTGTACAATACAAGGAGGAATACAGGGTGGTGCAAAATACCTGCCCCCAACCTCCAGAAAAAACCTGCAGAGTTTAACCAAATACAAAAGTTAACCTTGATTTCTTATCATCACTCAATGTTATGAGCAAAATTTAAACGCTGTTACCAACATGTGCCTTTAAAATAGCTGGATTTTTTTCATACTTAAATATTAACAAATTTCAGAACAAAATCATCATCACAAGCTTTTATTTCAGAATCTTGATTGAAAATTATTTTTTTTGTGGATCATTCCTGCATTTAATCCTTCAAAATTGACCCCACATGTTTGGAAACAATGTGATTAGGTAAGTTCCCCAGGCATTCTCCATATTGAATGAAGTCAATGTAGTTTTTCTGCTTCTCCTGGAGACTGGAACACGCTGTCCTGATGGCTTTATGCAATTGTGTGAGCTTCAGGGATCTAAAACCTTCAAACTATGAATCATTATCACTCAAAGTCTTACTCCAGTTCCATTCCACTCAACTTTCACCTGTGTTCAATTTAATTTCAAATCACTTTTTCGTGATTAATAGTGCACCAACGTCTTTTGCAAATTTCCAAGATACAACCATAGCCCAACAGACATAATGGTTTGCTGGCACCTAGGATGCCTGTCATTTTTTTAATTTTCAATTTTGCACATAATATTGTGTGATGATAAGATATCAAGGGTAACTATTGTTCTTGGTCAAAAGCCTCTGCTGGTTTTGTCTGGAGGTTGGGGGGCAGATATTTTGCACTACCCTGCATAATAGAGGTATGACCTGACCCAAAGTGAATGAGGAAGCTCCATTATGGAAACCACCAAACAAGGTGGAAGTTAAAAATTTGCTTAAAGTGCCAACATTCCCAACTCTCATCCTAGCTTCAGTCCACTTTTCTGATAGGGCCTCTGACTGGATATGGTACCTCTTAAGTGAAAGCTTGTCATAAGCTTAACTCAATACCATAGACATCAGAGACAACCAACCAAAAGTCAAATTTCTCCAATAAATGTTAGTGAGTTAATGGTATATTGCAATGTTGGAAGTCATTACAAGTGGATTTCACTGAAGGGGCATGGTAACTGCAGAAGAGTTATTGTGCCTAAGCTAACATATCTTCCAGCAAACTAAAGATACTTATTGCTAAAGTAAAAAAAAAAAAAAATTCACAACTGACGATTTGCATAAGAGAAATAAATCCTGGATGCTCATGTAGGTGTTACACCATATTACATATTGAAGAATCTCCATAGTGTCCCCTGGAAAAGCCTAGCTTTGATTCTTGCATGCATTGCTACAAAGATGCAATAATTGTATGAATTATGTAGTTTTATGATTTTAACATCCACCTGGACCCTTCTCTCCTTCCATTGGGAAGGATGCCTTGGAATGATTACTCCATGAAATAGTCTACAGGCATTGAAAGCAAGGACATGACAGGAAGATACACAAGAAAATAATATTTTTGGGAGGATGAGGACTCACAGCAAGGTTGGGGTCAAAACCGATTTGAGGGACGATAGGAGGTCGGACAACTGTTGGGAGCAGGAGATCGAAACGAGATTCTTCATCTTCCCCAGGTTCTTCCAACACCTGAAAGCATACCCTTTTTCTCAAATGAGACCAAACAAACAAGATCTATTTGAATGAAGTGAATACCATGAGGCTTACCCATTTAGTGGCATTAAACATCTTCACGTCAAGTGGATCACCTGTAAGCTGGTTGTCAACCATGGTCAAAGAATGACATGTTGCCAAGGCAATAAGGAGAGGATTGGATTCAGGTAGAAGTGCCACATTTGTCAATAATGGTTCAATTTCAATGGGTCCTGATGAGATTGGGACAACACCCCACATGTCCAGCCCTTCTTCAGTCAGGGTCCCTGTCTGGAAATACAGTTGACTCTGAATAATGGAATACCATTGCATGGTCCTGATTTACTTTACAATACAGTAGATAGTTTCAGTTATTGCAATACTCCAGATTATTGAATGAATCTTGCTGGTCCCATGAGTATTCAACTGTATCAATTCCACAATGACCAGTGGTTAGACTAATTAATAGAACACAGGAAGAATACAATATTAAAAAATCAGAAAACATTGCCTACTTCTTCCTATGAACATTTTTCCTTTCAAAACCTGACAGCTCCTGAGAACTTATTTCTTCTAAGAAAAAAGTTTAAGATATTTATCCAAATTTTGTGATTTATTTAAAACTTAAAAAAAAAAACACTTTTAGACATTCTTTCCATTTTATAAACTTAATATTTGTCCATAATATTCTCAAAAACAACAATGGAAAGCAACTCTGGTTAAAATGTGGAAAGCAAATATACAGGGTGGCCAGTAAATACTTGACACATTTCAAAGTACTGTTGAATGGGCATTACGTCAGGAAATGAAATTATTTATTTGGCATAGTAAACTACAACTCAGGAATTTTATACACAATAGCCATGTCTGGTTTTTTGCTTCATTTAGGTCTTGAAAACACATTGGTATGTAAATGTCCACCATTTTCCTATATGCACTGATGTGTATGGATCACTGTGTTTTGCATCACTTTTCACCAAGCATCAATTGGAATATAGGCTATTGCCAGTTCAATGTTTCTGTGCAAGTCTTGAAGGGTCCTTGGCCTGTTGGTGTAGACTTTTGATTTCAAGAACCCCCATAGGAAGAAGTCAGGGGCAGTCACATCTGGGCTTCTGGATGGCCATGAACATCTCCAAACCATTGAACTAAATGATTTGGAAACAACTGTGCCATCAATGCAATGGCAGTGTAGGCAGTTGCCCCATCCTGCTGGAACCAGGTTTGGTCATCAAATCCCATTTCTGTGAATTTTGGAGCAATGAAGTTGCTTATCATTGCTTGGTATCACTCAGATGTCACTATGACAGTCGTACTCATTGCATTAGAAAAAAATACAGCCTATCATTGAACATTGAACCAGCAATAGCCAATATTCCAATCAACGCTGGGCAAAAAGTGGTGCAAAACACAGTGATCCATGCACATCAATGCGTATGGGAAGATGGTGGACGTCCACATGCCACTATGTTTTCCAAGACCTAAATGAGGCAAAAACCAGACATGGATATTGTGTGTCAAACTCCTGAGATTGTAGTTTAACATGCTATACAAATAATATCATCTCTTGTCATAACGCCCAATTAACATTACTTTTAAATGTGTCAGGTACTTATTGACCACCCTGTAGAAAATGTAATGGTTGCTAAGAAATAATGATGAACTCCTAAATTCAAGAAGTTCATTCCATGAATGTCATGAGGTAGGTGGATTGGATCAGCCATTTCAAAGGGTTAATACATTTGCCTATATTGTGTGTTTTGTTTATTTTAGCTTATTGATGCATAAATAGGTGATATTGAATGGAATGACCCTATGTGAAGTAAAAATTCAACTACTATCTTCAAGCAACTCTGAATACAAGCAAAAGAGTTATGGATGTAAAGGATACAACCAATAAATATTTAAAACTATGGCACCCAGAGGTATTTGAGCCAAGTTCAATGTCAAGTCCACACAAACTGTACAAGAACAGCAAGAGGAGTAATGGAGAATGGAATGCTGAAACAGGTCATACTCACCTCAGGCATTGATCCCATGAATAAATGTGCAAAACGCTAGTCAAAATTGAAATAATAACAGGCAAGGTTGCATTGTATTTCTAACCTTGTCAAAGCAGAAGAGCTGGAGCTTCCCACACACATTGATGCGAGGAGGAGAAGTGCAGAAGACACCCTGCTTCTGCAATCGATTCTGAGCATAGACTGTACCAACAGTCATTGCAGCTGGTAATGCAGGTGGAACAGCAATTGTGATGATGTCTAGTGTTCGAATGATGATCCTCTGAACTTGTGCCTGCATGCGAAAGTGTTAGATTTTCATATCAGTTCCTCTTAGATCAGTATTGACATACACCCCACACACAGATGAGACTTGTAATGAGCAGATGAAATGAGAACTAGAATTTAATTAAATCACAATGACCATCACAATAAAAAAAAAGGCATACCAATATGCAATACATCACACTCACTGAAAAATGCTACAAACACTTGGCTAACTTAGTTGGCTTTGAACTCAGATCATGTACCATAGAAGGCAAGCTTGCTACCAACTGAAGCACACACCTGCCCAAAAGTACAACCATAGAAATCAAGCTATACTTTCTTTTCTTAATTTTAATGAGGATCTCATTGTCTGAACCCAGCCAAAAGAATGGAAATTAAAATGATGAGAAAACAGAGAATAAATTCTGTCCACAATCTACCAAGGATAGTCTGCATTTGAGAATGAACAGAAGTAGACTGAAGGCTGTAACAATGAGATCAACCTCTTATTGATTTTGATGACCTTGTCCACAGAAGATGGATCTGACATGAGTGGGTAAAAACTAAAAACAGGACATGATAAATAAGGAGGGGGATTAGTTGGCTACATTTCAAGCAGTTTGGGATGTGCTCCATCCCTCAGACCACAAAAGGCCTTGGTGGTCTTGAAATTTGGCAAAAGTCAGATAACCATTTTTTACAATCAAATTTCTAGTTTTCTCAGAGAAATCCCTTGTGATGGAATTGTATTAAGGGTGAGTCGCAAGTCTGGAACAATAGTAATTTTCAAAAGATGTGTCTAATATGTAGTCCATTATTTGTTGTACACTGACACAGCCTAAAAGGCTGTGTCAGTGTACCATTCATAATGAACTTGCACTTCCTTTCCCCATATAAAAGGAGTATTTCAATCTGTTCTTCTTTGGTCAGACTCATCTTTCACCTAAAACTAAAAAAAAGACTAGTGACTCAGCCTGTACTTTGCCTCACAGTTGATTGATATTTCTGTAGCATAAATAGAAATGTTCATTAGGTGACAGGATTTTTGGACAGCTGATGCTGCTGTAAGCAAGGCACTTTTGATGGAGTGACAGTTGCTTCATTATTAGACTACCACTTCTCTTCTTAAAATGAACACAGCACATGATACATGACTACAGGTAAAACTTTACCAATCACACAAGTGACCTTGACCAATGACATATTGCAAGAAGTTTGACCTTGGCATTGTTTGCAAAGAAGAAATACCATAAGACCTAAAGTTTTCCCACCTAAAAGAGCAAAGAGGATTCAGTTTCAACATGGTTTCTAGAATTGCCTGATGAAGGACTTTGATTATTCTAGTTAGCTGGGAATCTCCATTTTCCTCTGAATGCATAAAGCAGGTTCATTTGGTAAGATGTCACACAAAAGTAAATAAATGCATCAACCCAGAAGTTCAAGCTAATCATGCAATCAGCAACTAGAACCCAAATGACCACTCAATTAAAAATGCTGTGCCATGGGACTTAGCATTTTCTGGGATAAATTAGCTCAATGATTTAAACAAGATGACATAGGCCTCTTTTATCTATACGTGAATCTTACTAATCTCATCACTTCTTGCCCACAGTATCTTTAAAAAATTATGCTTAAAAAGTTTAAAACATGTAGTAATAGTCAGGTGACACTTTCTAAAGATACCAAGAATACTAGAAATGAAGCACCATTTCAGGAAAAAAAGGGTCCCTTTACAGTATGTTGAGTAGGGTCACACCTGCAAAGTTGCAAGACAAGAAGCATAAGAAGTAAATTAATTCCATTGTTTTAAAAGACCTGAGGCTCAATAATTGATTCAATAGTATCAAAGTAAATTTTCCCTATTGAAAGAGGGATGGCACCAGGGGCATACACAGGATTTAAAGAAAGGGGAGACTCAACACTAACACAGTTGAATGATAGGAGTGGTGGGGGTGAGGGGAAGGGGGGGGGGGGACAATGAGGTTAACTAAGTATAGATAGAATTGCAGAGCATGGGAGGCTTGAGCCAACCTTAATATATGCCACTGTGTGGCACCCTCTTCAAATGTCCACAGTCACTCAACTATTTATTTCTGGTTAGGACTCATGCAATGAAACATACTTGATATTTGGCATTTGCAAGCAATTTTTAATGTATAAAAACTCAAGTATGTCATTGAGCAGAGATAGATATATATACATAGAGTAGGCAACTCACTCCTTGTTCCACATAGATGTAAATGCAGTAGACCATTCCACATAATGCAATGAAGAACATGGCTAGAATGAACTTGATAGAATCCTTGTAGAAACGAAATCCCATCGGCTTGGGGAAGAGTATTGATCGAATCAGTTCTCCCTTTGCTGTAGAAAACCCTGTTCTTACTACCACACCCAAAACCTAGGAGAAAAAGAGAATGTTCATAATATTCAAAGTGGAGTACAGGGTGACCAAAAAAAAACCATACCAAACTTTGAAAAGTCATAACTATTAGTTTTTATCAAAACATAATGTAGCTTTGGCATATTGTAGAGAAAATATTGATAGTAAAATATAAAAACAAACCATGATACTGTAATTTCTGGCTTAGAAGTTACAGGACATGTTCCAAATGACCTCCCAGCTCTCCCAAAAATGAGCCTGGTATGGTTTTTTTTGGGTCACCCTATACTTTATCAGTGAGTCTGGGTTTATGGTGATACTCAAAGACCTTATTTTGGCCATAGAAGCGAGTCTGTATAACCCGAGTTCCAGCAAACAGTGTGTGTCTCTTTTGGATTTCAGATGAGTATATTTCTTCATCTTCTGTGTGTGTCAGCTGCGTCTTGGTCACGGGAACACTTTCACCTGAAGATCAAGGAAAAATCATCTTGTGACTCAGCTCCTGCTCAGGTACCTTTGGCATAAGGGATTGAATAGCTTACCAGTGAGCATGCTTTCATTGACAATGCATGAGCCTTGAATGAGAGCAGCATCACAGGGCATAATGCATCCATTGCGAGGAATCACTATCACATCCCCTGGCACAAGCATCTGTACATTCACTTCCTCCATTCCTGAACCATTCAGCCAATATTCACAATATAACCAAATCAGGAAATATATACATGCAAAATGATCTTTATTAGTGAACTGACTGGATGAACTTCTCATGACAGTGGCATGGCTCACAGCAGAAGATGCTACCATCTGATGGAGGGTCTCACTTTGCTGCAACAACCCAGAGCATCAGAACATTAGAGCATATTCTGGTGGGAATTTCTGTAAATCGCCATATAAAGAGAAGTATTCACAAACCTTCCTTGTTTCATAAAGGGATACTCCAATGGAGACAACAGATATGAGGAAAATGCAAACAGCATATAAGAGGTAATTATCCAGACTCCAGAGAATAATGCTTCCAATTTGGAAGATGTAGAATGGGTTCAAAACTTCAGTGACTAGTAGAGTCCAGTATGACTTCACCTCAACTTGTATTTCATTTTCTCCATAAAGGAGGAGCCTGCAAGAAAGTTAATGTTAATCTTCCATTTTCTATCTTATGCTTTGCAGACTAAATGAAGGTATGTAAGTGGAGCAAACCTTTGCTGCTGCTCCTCAATAGTGTATCCATGAAACTGTTCTAAGACCTTGGACACTTCAACTTGTTCATCCAGTCCACATAATGTAACCCAGGTGAACTCAACAGGATCCCAGATATATTTGACATGGTGAAATGTGAAGTACTTGAGGTTGAGAACTAAGGCTTCCATGAGATGAGTTGATGGAGTAGGGGAAGTGGCCCAGGTATGAGTTTGACTAAGACTCTCACTGATTAGATGGAATGGGAAGGTCCTATCTACAGGTTGATTTTTCACTTCCACAGTAAACTTCTGCCCATGACAGTCCTGATGAGAAAGAAAGATAATCAGCTTCAAAACAATATATTCATATCATGCCAGGTGGGCCAAAAAAACGTAGGTTATCTCAATCATTCCACAGCACTGGTCCCCAAGAATTTGCTAAAATTGCAATAGCACCTCCATATAAAACGTTCCTTTACCTTTCCAATGATGTCAACATTATAAAGATTTGTGGCATAACTTCCATGCAGTTAGATAAAGAGTATAAGAGATGGTGTTGGAAATGTGAACAACACCTTGACAATATTGCGAATGTACAAGCAAAGGAATGGACATCACCTGGAACATATCTTACAAGGTACTAGTAAGTGCACTTTTCAAGTGCTACCTCTGTTTCTCTGCTACCTCTGTTTCAAAGTGATAATCCTGGATTATCACTTTGAGTGACTCCTTATGCAAAGCATTAATAACACGTGCATACCTTGAGTATGAGGAAATCTGCTTGGTCCATGGGGCAGCGACTCTTCATCAACTTCATGCCCCAGTCTGCCCTCCAATAGATGCAGAGGTATGGAATTCCAAGTAAAAAGATGGAAAAAAGGTGGAAGAAGAAACTTTTGCATCGATTTTCCCGGTAGGAGTAACATCTCAGCTCTTCTTCAGTTCCCTTGTGCAGGACAACTTTCCAAGACCGAGATGATGTCAGCTGCTCATATCGGGCTTCCATTTATATAGCATCCCGAATTTATGTGAATCTTGATTCTTTATGTGACTCCAAGCAGAATCCATATAAAAGTATTCATAGGCAATTAGCCTAGGTCACACCTTTCTTGTTTTCATATCTGGAACAGATTTGGAAACAAATCTACACCTGAAACAATGGAAGTTATGGTACCTTGGAGTAGCTATGGCTCAAGGTGCAGATTATGCTGGGCCCGAATGCATTTCTAAAGGATAAGGGTTTATATAGCCAGCTTCTGCCCCCCCAGACTTTAGTCTAAAAGGACAGCAGAAGAGAAAAGAGAAAAAAATCAGACACATGATGAAAGATCTCTGCCCTTAATGATGACAAGCTATTATTGATATACCTAAAGCTATATGATCCCTAGGGGCTTCAAAGATGGGTATGTGAAGGTGCAGTATAATGGAGTTTACAGAAAAATGTTGAAGCTAGTCTCATGAAATTCAGCATTTGGAAGGATAGCACCTCAAAAACTGTTGTATGCAGCACTGGTAAGACCCCATTTAAAATACCATGTTCAATTCAGGAGGCCTGCATATATGGTAAATGTGATCTAATGGTGCTTGGGAGGGTTCAGAGATGGGCTACAAATATGACAAAGGAGGTTCAGAGACTTCTATTTGAGAAGCATTTAAAAAAAACATTGGAACTCTACTTGCTTGAGAGGTTAACAAGAGGAGACCCAATCCGGGCTTTCATGATTATTAATTAAATCAATAACAAAGAGTGTGGTAGATTTTTCCAATTTGACAGTAGCAGCAGAATGAGAGGGTATCATAACTCAAGTTGCACAATCCCCAAGTGAAACTAAATCTGCAGAATTACTTTGTCACTTGTAGGGAAGTGAATGCATGAAATGAATTTCAGTTAACACATTAGGTCAGGGATCTCAAACTTTTTTTGATGTGCTGGCCACATTGCCAAGATCAAACCTCTCTGTATGCCAAAGGATAAAATCATAGAATGAATAATCAACCACTACCTTATGTTGTGCTAGTAGGGCCTTGAATGTTTCTCTCTTGGTGTATGCAGGCTGCATGAGAGTGTTTGAGCTGCATACAGCCCACAGGTGGCGAGTTTAAGACTCATGCTTTAGGTGATCATATAGTGGCTGCCCCCTTCAGGACTAGCTTTTAATTGAGGTTAGATGCCTTAATAGAGAAAATATTTAAAAAGAGAGCAATGTGCCTGTAAGTAATTAAGCAGAAGATGCAGTAGGTGAATATGATTCCACAAAAATTTTCTTCAAGGGTGGACCTAACATACTTTGCATGAATACTCAACCAGACAACCTGATGTCCCTACACGAACCTTGATTTCATAGTTTGAATCATATGTTACATAAATGGATATTTTACCTACATGTAGTTGGCCTAATTAAAATCGGTGAATATTATATAAATAATTTTAGCTAAGGGACACCATACAGAAAATAAACTTTGAAGCATTTCAATTTACTAAAACACAGGGTGAGTCAAAAGTCACTGAACAACTTTGAACAGTTATAACTCAGTAAGGAATGAGGATACTCAGCAATGAGCAGTCAATGAGGTGATAAGATGAAACTAGGCTTTACCAAAAGATTGATTACTGGAATTCCATCCCATGAAATCCAATTATCCAAAGTAGAGTATGAGCAACTTTTCTGATAAGGATCAGTACACATCAAGGATGGAAGAACACTCAGAGAAAAGATGTATTCCTTTTGCCAAAACTACGAATGTAGACAACATTTGCCGATGACACCAAGATAGGCTTTACCATAAGGGGGGAGGTGGATAGGGCTAGAGCCTAGCAAGATTCAAGTCTTTTGGACGAGTGGAGCAAGAAATGGCTCATGAGGTTTAAATTTTCATTCACATTTCAAGAGGTGTAGCCAGCTTTTTTACCATCCAGAGAGCTGTTCAAGTCGCTAGTTAAATTGGATGAGGCAAACAGAGAGAGAGATTTAGGAGTTTCTATCAATGAGGACCAAGTTTTCCTCGCACGCACAAGCGACAGTGGCCAAATGCAACAGGATTCTAGGTTACATTCGTTGGTCGATTGCAAGTAGGGCATCTCGCGTTATTCTTCTGTTGTATGCAGCACTGATAAGACCCCAGTTGGAATATTGAATCCAGTTTGGGAGGCCTACAAATGAGGGCGATTTGTTGGCGCTCGAGGAAGTACAGAGAAGGGCCACTATAATGATTAAGGAGGTCAGAGGAGTATCATACGAGAAGCGTCTAGAAGTGTTGGGACTGTACTCGCTCGAACGAAGGTTACGGAGGGGCGACCTCAACCAGGCTTTCAAGATAATTAAAGGAATTGATAATGTCGAGTGTGGTAGGTTTTTCCAGTTTGATGGCAGCAAGAGAACGAGAGGTAACTGACTTAAGTTGCGCAAACCGCAGGTGCGGCTTAGGTCGTGTTAGGAATTTTTTACTTGCAGAGTGGTGAGCGCGTGGAATGCGTTAGATGTCGAAGTAGTGGCTGCCCCGCGCTGTGACTATCTTTAAGATGAAACTAGATGCTTTCATGGACAGGCAAAATAGGCCTACCCTAAAATTAAGGAACGCTCGACCTCGACACATGATATCGAAATGGGTGAAATCGCCTCTTGATATCACTATCTTGAATCTTGAAACATTACTTGGTTCTCTTTGGTACATCTATGCCATCACATTCAGGTTACCAGTGAAATACACCAATGCACAACACTACAACATCAACATATGCTTGAAGCAGGGTAGTAGTGTATAATTCATTTTCCATAGATTGCACTGCCCTCCCTCTAGCCTAAGGAAAAATAAATATCTGGAAAAAAATTAACTTCAGGACTATAAACAGTTTTAGCATGTACAATTTAGCCATATTCTTTTTTCTCTTCATTTGACACAACAGTAAGAAAGTTTATCCTGTGGAATGAATGCAATTATATTTTGTAAAACTCATGATGCTCAGGCAAGTTTCTCAGTCATAAATTGCCAAAAGAGTAAAAAGAAAGGTCATAACATTTTTTGGGAAGGAATTGAAATAACAACAGGTCAAAGAATAGGGGCTCCTGTGACTGTGCTTTTCCAAAGCTAGTTCTGATCTCATTTTTCTGAGATTCACAATTGAGATATACAATTTTCACTTGATTTCAACACTCATGAATGAAGAACATCCCATGCACAAATGTCTGGATCAAGTGAAAAACACTGTAAACTCGAAATGAAATTCCTTCTATTCATTCAACATAATATCTTCCCTCATAATCGTCTGACATCTTGAAGGGGAAAACATGGTTACAACTTGTAATTCAGAACAATTATAATCCTGTAATAAAGTTCGTCTAGGCTGATTGCCCTTACTTTGGCTGGAAGAGCGGTACACCTACATGAACCATATTGAGTACCAATCGCAGCTCCAAGGCCAAAGGTTGATATAATTATCGATGCCAGTCATGCGAATGTTCTTGTGGATTATCCTCGGCAAGGCCTAAAACCTGACATGGGAAGACCTAAGAGAAAGGCTTGTAAATACCGTGCAAACGTGAGGCCTTAGACCTTGACCTGCCTCTATCGTGTATGTATCACATGGTCCCAAGAGCAACAGCAGTCATCCATGACAGTAGTGAGACGATTTGATTGGTGTGCGGCAGTGTTGCGTGTATTTCTCTCTGCCTTCTCCACTGCCTGCACCGGACCACAACGCTGTTTCTCAAGTAGACAGCAAGAGGAATATACCTAGCGAAGAAAGGGGGGGAAAGGGTGACCGAGGAAACAACACCCATGGAAAATGGCACGAAGAATGCATATCAAATTTACAATCAATTTATATTGATATTGGACACTTTCAATTTTGCTTCATACTTCATCAGATGGTGTTCATGCATCCCCGTACGGATTTTTTTACTCTCGTTTTTAAGATCGAGTCAATAGGCTTACAATGGAAAAGTCCATTGTGGTGCACTAAGTGATTTGGAAAAAGTGCCAACTCAATTTATTTTAAATGTTTGAATCGCGAAACTTCAAATGAAATATGAAAGTCATAGAATACAGGAAAATCTTACGGAACACCGAATGCATACGGGAAGAAGTCTTTTTCATTGACGACGCCAGCTTTCTTTTCCTTTCTTTTATTTTTTCCTGTGTCACTCGGGAGATAATTTGGCAGGTTATCTCACAGAGAGCACTCATCAAACACTTTATTGAAGCGGGGATTGAGGTCCTACTCCTTAACACCCAGAAACAGCGAGAAAGAATGTATACGTAGAATATGGACCAATAATTGTCTGGAAGCATTTAGTAATGTTACACAGGATGACCACAAGCAAAAGGAAAACTTGCTAAAACGAATCATAGGAGGAGGGTCCCCAGAAATACAAGTTAATCTTCAAAATATCTTAATCTTTTCCTCACGTCTTCGGCAAAGGAAAAATGAAATAACTGTAACCTATTTCGAGCTTTTTCTGTTTCACCTAAAAGTTTTGCATCAAAGAAAATAAATCTGAAGCTATTCTTGCAAGCATTTTCAATTTCTTTGCCTTCTAATAACTTATTGTGGATTTTAATCAAATGTCTTTAAGCATCTTTGAAACCCTTTATGAAATGTGTCTAATTTCTACAAAAATGGGCAAATGCTTGCTGATCCACTTGATGCATGATTCTTTATTAAATACTTGAGCCCATGAATATTTGCGGTCGCAGGCGAAAGAAGTGATCGCATTCCCATCCTGAAGTTGTCTTCAGGGTGTTTCTGATTTCTTAAATGGTCATACATACCTCGAAGGACTCAATTTATCTAGTAACGAAGCAGGTGCATAAGTGGATCTTCGATCAGTTTCAATACGATGCAAATTTCTTGCTCATCCCTTCCTACGAGGACATGCCAAGTAAACGTACACGTACCATTCGTGTCCAGCTCTTATTGCGTATGGATGGTGCCTATCAGATTTCTTCCGATCTGGAGCCTGTTGTGATGTTCTTTTCTTCTTTGCATTGATGCTCTAACGCTTACCTGACGGATAAATCACATAATCGATTTATAGCTGGAGCTAGAAACAAGTCATATTGCTGTCATTCAAAAAACAAGTTTCTCCCAACCGATGCAAGATGGCGAAACAATCGCTGCAGGGGCAATTCACACCTTGATGCAAC